AATTGTTAAAAAAAACTTTTTTACAGTGATTAAAAACATCACTTTTGAATAAGCTTTAGATAGGAATCCTATATATATATATTTTTTTTTTAAACGCTTCAACTTTAAAGTGGAATATTTCGATTTTTAATCCCGCTCCGGGTATTGAGTTTTAAAGCATATATGTTCAGGACACTAAATCAAGCTTATTTTATAAGTTTCAAAAAAATTTAAAGAAAATGGATTTTTTCGGAGAACGTCCTTAAGTATTAAAAGCACTGTTCAATATAATTAAATATTGTTTTTTAATATTAGATTTTTGTAAAAATTATAAGAAAAGTTATAATAAGTAACAAACATATAATAAAATAAAAAAGTTATAGGATTTTTTACAAGAGTTTTCTTTTTGTCTTGGGAAATGTCATACGAGTTTGATAGACAGAGATTAACTTGGAAACCATAATGCGTAAGTCGCAACATCAAAGCATTTGTACAAAGTTTGTCTGTATAGTCAGAAAACTCAACTTGCGATACTTAGTTTCGTCGTTCCTGCATGAAAGCGTTTTAAGAAGATCCTTTATAACAAGTTCCGACATGCGAACTTTCTCGTAGGAGTCAAACATCAAGAGGACTTTTAGGCGCATCTGCGAGCGCAGTTCAAGATAAATATTAAATACTTCAAAAGCGTGTACTTCGGTAATAAATAGCCGAGTCTGCAACTATTACACAGAGAGAGTTATACTGAGTTATAAGCAAACGTTTCGGCTTTTGTAATAGGAGCAAGCGCGAATACCGCGCATCGGTGAATGTTGTGAATTCGTCAATTACTTAAGACTTGTAGCACAATTCCCTTCTAACTATTATCAGACTGTTTCGTATAATGCTAACTAGCAAAATTGTTTGAGACAAATTTTTACAGGCTATTCCAAAACTAGATTAAATTTTGACGATTAAATTTTGACGATGAAATTTTTCGAGACAAATTTCAACTCCAAATTAAACAAAACACACAAAGATAGTACACTAGAATTCCTGTACTATTTAAATACCGTTTAATTGAACATTCGACCGTTCGAACAGCGTCATCAAAGAAACGAAAATAAACATTTCATGTGTTTCAGTATAAACATGTATGTTTAGTTACACGACGTGCTCTTAATTTATAGTAATCTGAATTCTACAAACGTATTTGTGAAATATAAAATGTTACGTATGCCTTGCGTAAGTAAATTGATTTTTACAGGCGTTTTGAAGTATATGCTTCTGTGAAATAAATTTCACGATAGAAAGCTGCAAAATTAATAGAAAATTTATAAACTAAAAAATTATTAAAAAAAAACAAAAAAAATGGAATGAATAATAAAGAACACTGTTAAGTCATAATTTTTTTGTTGCGTTTACAAAATATCGTATAATAAGCAGACTTGTTAAAAATATTATTTGCGATTGATTATTACATAGGATATAATGGTGCAATCTGGATAACGAGGCATTTTGGAAAGTTCGGATTTCGCATATGCTTGTTAGCTACGGGAAACACCGCCAAAAATGCGAGGTGTGGTTTCATGAATAATGTGTTAAAGCTGTAGGAAGAAAGTAATTTATTTGCGGTCGCTGTTTTTAGAGTATCCTCTTAACTTCAAGTTTTTACATTAGAAAGTTTTGTTCTATATTTTTCAAAAAAAATTTCAAGTCTTTTTATGAATATTCATCTTTATCAACATGCATAGATATTGTTTCAATAAAACTGAAAAAGTATCTTATTTGATATATTAATAATTATTATGATTAAAATTATCTCGATCCTATTTAATTTGATTTTCAAATTTTCTTCATATGAAAATTCAGCGGACAAGTTAGACAGTTTACTTTTAGTGTAACGACATAGTTTTAGTGTAACATATATTTTGTATCTGATGTTAATATGTACGTCAATGAATGTTTTATATGTTATCAGTAAATGTTTTATATTTTAATTAAATATTATGCAACTCCCCTCAATTTTTTATATACAATTTGAAAATTTCTATGTTTTCTATATTTAGATAATATAGAAATATAGAGATAATATAGATATATAGAAAATATAGAAATAATAAATTTCTATATTTATTCAAATTTATTCTATTCAATATTTTGTTCTTCGATTAAATTAAATATAATAAATTGTTATATATATATATAAGAATTTTATTGTAGCAGTTTTGATACGTCCTATATAACGCAACTGAATTAGATGACAACATTTCATACGCTACGATGATAAAAGTGAAATTGCATAAAAAAGCAATCGAAAAATATCGAGAAATAAATTATTCTCACCGTTCAAAACATGAACGTGAACTGTGGCGGGTTGGTCTGGCATGGTGGTAAGCTGGCAGGTGTAATTTCCGCTATCCGAAGGTCCGACTTTAGCTATGCTGAGAGTCGAATTGGCCCCCTCTTCCATCAAGTCCGTTTTCACGCTATAACAGATAGACACGGCGTTGAAATTTCAATGCCCCAAAATCGTGCCAAGAATATTTTGTGCACTGTACATATTTTGTATTACTTGAGAAAAAGAAATGGTTTTGCAATTATTGTAATTTAACTGTAATTTATAACACTTGGTCAACTATGCATGTACTAACATTGTAGCAGTAATTAATTAGAAAATAGAGTTGCTAACCATATTTATATTAGCATATAATTATTGTTACAAATATTAAACATTTTTCTCTCGCTTGACGATGTAGCTGAAAGTATTACAATATAAATATTTATGTATTCAACTTCTGTACGCACAACTTCTGTAAAAAAGTATAAAATTATATAAATAATATGTGTAAAATTTACAACAGTAAAAATATAGATAATATAAAATAATATAAAATAATACATAAAAACAATATAAAATAATATTATATAAAAATAATATAAAATTGTTCTTAAAAAATTAATACTTTTATCGTTAATTGTGTAAATATCTCTTTATATTAGACGAAAAATTACAATAGTATATATTATATAATTTTTATGTGTATATATAAAGATTTTATATTATATAATATACTGATATTATATTATATAATAACATGTTATATTTGCATTTTTATTTTTGTATTATACATATCAATAACATAATTTAAGAAAAATTGTATGTACTTCGTTGGCGAATTAATGCGTAAATATTTCTATAAATTTAACTTCAATTGTAAAGTTATTTTTGCAAATTGTTTAATACTATGTATAAAGAAGAATATTACCTATTATAAAGTAGAATAATATTTTATTGATAAGTTGTGACTTTACGTGTAAATGTGTAAACCTTTAATAATAGGTTCCAAAATTATTCAGTACAAGTATTGTAATTTTACATGTAATCTTTTTTACAGTATTATTAAATCTGTACGTTCGAAATTTTTAATTCACAAATCTTTTTATCGAAATATCTATAATAATTATAGAAAACGTTTGCTACAAAAAGCTATTAATTGAATGGCTAAGAAGTATACATTCAAGATAAAAAATGTGTCAATCACGATGACACGCATTTCGGAAACATTAAAAATTTCTCGAGAAAAATGATCAACGCAAAGTCGTGAATCGTTCGTTGTAGTGCGAAAGAAGAGAACATCTCCTTAGGTTAACGAGAACTCTTCAATTTTGCCAGTTCTACTGCCCTTGCATCTTACTTCTTTGTCCTAACTAATCGCTGATTCTCCATCACCACTCAAGTCGTTTTTCTTCTTTCCCCGATTCCTTTTTATCTCTGCTCTCATCTGGCATGGCCGCTCTTCATTCGCACGATTTTATGCGAACTTTTTTCGCGGCAGAAGATAAGTTAATCGCAAATTGAGCCAAAATTATCGGTTCTCGCGAGAGTGGTGTGTACATACTCTGTGCAAACAACAGAATATTAAGTTTTACCGAATAAATATTTGTGCAGAACTATCGATCTATCTTGATAACACACTTCATACCTATCAACGCTTGTTTTTTTTTGCGTGAAATTGAATATTTCAACCTCCGTGTAAATTTGCAAATTTGCTTTTTTAAACACGGGGGAAACGTTATTATGATACAGTATCGTAAGAGCTTAAGAAAATTTGTAGAGTATAAACAATTTTTCTGTTTGTGTTGAAATCAAAAATAGATCACAAAATTTGAAACAATTTACAAAGTACTTAATATCCTATTTCATGCTTTGTATCAATGTAATTTCATTATTCCTTTTGATTTATCTTGTATGATTTATCGATGTCATAAAACGGTGTCCATCACTTGTACATTAATAAATCATCGAATACAACAGTTTTTTATAACGAGACCTGTCCTTTTCGTAAAATCGCATTCAAGTTGAAAAGAAGTGCGAAGAATGCAACGAGACAATGACTTCGTTAAAGTGCACTAATTGCAGACAGAAATATACCTTTTCTCCTTTTCTCGAGGGAGAAAAGTTTCCGCGTGAAACTGCATGCTGCAGAGACGTCTTGCGGAAAATTGCTCTCGTACTTGACGTTCCTATTTTTGTGAGAAACTAGCGGAAAAAGGGGACTATTCGAGCGAGCATTTTGTGCGAGTACAAGGTGCAAGTGGCGATTCGGAGTGTTCCAGCAGAGCAGTAAATATTGAGAGATGACGACACAGTTAATAGTTTGTAACATGATTTTATATCTTTTTAAAATATCAAAGCTAGATGTAATAAAAACGGTATTTGATAAAATAAAAAAAATATGAGAGAGAGAAAGAGAGAGAGAGAGAGAGAGAGAGAGGGAGAGTCGAAAATTAAAAAAGCAGTATGATTATAAAAGTTATAACGAATTTGTTGACAATTCTATGGCTCTGACGACGATCGCGTTGAAGCTGTATCCTATATGACTTCCAGTTCGCGCTTTTAAACGTTACTTGACAGCTAGAGCGGCAAACATTTGTCCGGTAAATATTTTACAGCGGAAATTTTTAGCATTTCCTTTTTGCGTTCTGTACACGACAGACGTGACCGCACGGAACAAAAGCGTGCGCTTTTGTGGCGATATCGCCTTGAACATATTATCGCCACGCCATGTGTCCTATGAGAATAATATAAAGTATTCTAATATTATTTGATAACTGGTCTCTCTTTATTAGTTTTATTTTAACGGATAATCAAATTGTGCCGAATTTAACGTGACTTTTCTTGCGCAAGACCGCCTGATATCTTTCATGTTTTTTTGCTGTGACGACTTTTGAGGGTAAAAGGATATTAGCAAGAATAGAGGAAGCAAAAAAGGATAAGAGAGGGATAAAAACCACTACAAAGAATAATTTAAATTGTCAATCTTGTCAAATAGATCCTATTAAGGATTCAATTCACGCTGCTGCAACTACTTATTTAATTGGAATGTGACTGTCCACGATTTTCCGCAGCAAAACATTTTTCTCTCACTTTCTCTCGTTGTAGTTTGACAATGACGTAACTTTACATGTCGCAATTGTTCAATGGTCGTTCTCTTTACGTTCTACCATTATTAATGTGAAATTCAGCAGAGAGAGAGACAAAGCTTTCCCTTTTACAGCTGTTTCTCCAGCTTCGCTATCCTTTCGCGAAGGAACGTCCTTATTTATACCGGATTGCGTGTCGCTGAGAGTGGAAACTTGACCGAGAAAGGTTTTGAATCGCGCCGAGCAAGCGAGACTTTAATCGAAAAAGTTCGTGCAATTTGTCGCTTTCGTTCTCCCCAGCCGGTTGAACACCGGTAGGTGATCGCTCGTTTATTCGCGATGTTGAGCGTCCACTGCCTACATCCAGCAACGTAAGAGCTTTTGTGAAAGAATTCTTACAATTAATCCGATACGGAAATGCGAAATGAAAATAGAAAACAGTTACCGAGAATCTTGGGATCAGCTTAAAAAAATTAGCATGATCCAATGTAAATGTAAACTTGAATATTTATGTTTTTAAATAGTTTTTACATTGTACTAAAAGCTGCGCCTTTATTTCAATTATTATACTGTAAATAATTTTTAATTTTGTGTTAATTCTACAAGTTTTAGAAGGTTAAACAACGACTAGCGTTATTTTTGCGTTTGTGAATAAAGTTAAGCTTGCGTACCAGCTTAAGTAATGAGATTAACGTCACTGATTAAAATTTCTATATGCATGACTCGCGTAATTTTAATGCGATGATAAATGGCAATTGGCCAAGTTGCGGAATGCAATAATTCAGAATAATAATTAAGGGATTGTGTCATGTATTAAATTAAATATTGTTTATATATTGTAGAAACTGTATCTTTTATAATCGCTGGTACTTTGTTTTATCCTTTAGCCCTGACGGGCTTAATAAGCAAGCTGCATAAAATTTAAGTTTTTTTTTATGTATATGTGGACGCGCAAATACTCTTACAAGCATTCAGTTATTTTTTTAGCAGTGCTCGGAAACTGACAATACATAACACAGTGTAAAGCAGTCGACAAACAATGATTAATTGTACGAGACATTACTTTGGTCAATGGATTTGATACGGCTGTTAACTCTATGTAAGCGATTAGCTATTTCTTTATTCGCGGCGCAATCAACCGAAATGCATCGGTACAATATAGTACTAGCAATTCATCATTTAACACGATGTTAATACGGTGAATGCTCTTTTTGTCAATGCGAACATATCCGTTATGTAAAATAAGTTCAATACTATCTGTTACTGTGCTCGTATATGTGAAAACGGTACGAAACTGTACAAAATGGAAATTAATGCTTATCCAACATTAATTAAATACATCTTATTTTACATTTTCATATATATTAAATTTTAATTACACAAAGTAGTACAAAAAAATGAAAAATAAAGAATATGAAAGTATTTCGTGAGATAAGATATCTTTTCATAATCATTAATAATTTAATTAATTAACAAGATATCTATTATGATTTTCAGATAGAAGCAACAGAGAAAGTATGCTTTTGCTGAAATCTAAAATTAGATACAAACCTAAAATAATTTTGTTGAACTGTTAAAATTCTCATATAAAACATAATGAATAATGCAGCAAATAAACTTTGACATTTTAGCAACGTTCCATTTGAACGTTCCAACTAGTTGCTAAAATAATATTAAAAATAAGTATAATTATTTTGATGGTCTAACAAAATTTATTTTCAAATTTGTATTTAGTTAAATTTTTAGATACTATATCAAAACTGACCATTCCGTGAAAGGATGTGCTTTCACAATTTTAGTAAAAATGATGAAGTTATTCGTATTTACCTGAAGAAAATCAAGCATCAATTTTTCAGTAAAAGTTTTTCAGTAACAAATTTTTATAATTTTTAGAAATGACACTAAAAAAATTCAAGTTTTTTTGTACAATATTTTCGCCTCTCTGTTTGGATATGCGCCAGAACTTGAACACAAAACAATATACGTACACATACAATATTTTAAGATCACATCAAGCGTATTTCATTATCTACTGCGATAACATATCTTCATTTATTTTAAT